ATTTAAGCCATATTTTAGTTATATATTAATATTAGTTAATATTAGTTGAGATCATAATTAGACAATAATTTAAGCGAATCCTAATCTCTAGTCCTCTAATCGCGTATAACATGAATACATGAATGAGAAGTGGACTCGAAATCAATGCTTAAATTGTTCCCAACTTTTGTTCAATTAATACCACTTTTTATTTATTGATTGCAAAATTAAATTATATATAATTTTTTCTAATTTAACTTAATCTGTATTATTGTGTAATGTTTTGAGCGATTTATACGATTATTGCTTGAATATAATCGCATCTATTTCTCGTATGAAAATTGAATGAATGATTAAAAAACATTTAAAAACACTTTTTTTGTTTTTCTGAAAAACAATTTTTTTTGTATTTCTCTAATAATTTGTTAATTGAATCACACTTTTCTCTGTCTCTCAATTCAAATTTTGTATATATTGTGTGAAAAGTAAATTGAAAAAAATTCAAATAAAATTCACAATCATTTTATATAAAAATCGCTATTTTGTGTGCCTTTCTATTCAATCAATTTGTGTGTTATTCTGGTATTTGTATTAAATGTTAAACAATTTTTTGCGTTGAAATCCCATTTAAGGAGTGCTTACGCGTACAGCAAACAGATCGCCCTTTTCTAACTACCAGTGCTTTGGTTAGGAATCCAGGAATTGGTGTCGATTCCTATCCCTCTTTCCCTATCGATAGGACCGGTATTTTTAATTGATAATAATTAAGGAGTTTTCGTGGATTTCATGCATTCAATAGCTTTTATGTTATTTTTTATATTAAAAAATAATTTCAACTCACATATAGTAGTAGTGACACTGAATTCAAGATTTTTAATCGAAATAAAGTTACCAAAAAAGTTCGGTTAGAAAATTATTTTTAGAAAGTTGTAAACTCCAGGGAAAGTCCTATTATAGGGACAAGAATTGCAAGAATAATAAGTTATTTTTATATCTGTTTTATAATTTTACGATAACAATTTATTCATTTTTAAACATCTTGTTTACATTATCGATTAATAAATGCTATAAAATTGATATCAAAATTTTTAATTACACTTTTAAAGTATACAAAAAAAATTCAAGACTCAGTTAATTTAACTTAATTTAATAAATACAATAAAATATTTTGTATATATAATTGTCTATAAAAATAAGTCGATGTTTGGTAACAGTTGTGTCGTCCGGGGGTATCAAGTGTTGAGTGCTGGGGTTGAGCTGAGGAACGGGACACACGAGAGCCGACAGAGACCCGACTGCGTGGCCGTCAAAAGCCAGACACAGGACGTGTGGTTTGGATTCCAGCAGACCTTCAATAGTGTACACAAAACGTCACATTAAAACACAAATTAACGTTTGTTTTGATTACAGACTCTATTGATTGATAGGAGCGGATAATCGCTGAGTCGCTGGTATTGCATATGCGTTGGCAAACGGATCCGATTTATTTCGTCAATGGGTATGGCCTTCGCAGACGTCTATAAATCAATTCATTTACACATTATTTCGTAAACCATTTCTCATTTGACGCAAAATTGCATCTATTCTTACGGAACCTATTCTTTGAGTGCAAACAACTTTTTTTTATCATTCAATTAATGGTGAATAGTTTAGTGAAAGGCAAAGGATATGAGTTTAATTGACAGCCGAGTCATTATAATTGTCATAAAATTCATACGAATTTTCAAACTAAATATTTATTTAAATTAGAGATTCTATTCACTGTTAGACTCATCGGGTTTTTGTTTATGAACCCATGTCTTGATTATAATTATCGCAAAATTATTTCATATAAACAATTCATTTCAGAGGAAAGGGTTAAGACATACACACGCCGTGAAGCGCAGTAGACATCGACTTATAAACTGATCAATCGATTTGCGAAACAGAGATGAAAATAGCTTTTGGTGTTGTAATAGCTTTCAGTTAATACTTGACATCTCATATGATTTAAACACAAAAACAGTTCACTTATGCAAGTGAATCAAATATAATGCAAACAAATAGACCTCTTATTAATGAATTAATAGTTTCGGAGTTTAAACACAAATACTATAAACTATTTATAGAAATGACAGCAAATTATATGTTATATAAACACTGTCTGAAAGTCTTACCAAATCGTAATCATTGAATACGAGACCGTATTTAGCGGTGAACTCAAGATATGAGTTTAATTGACAGCCGAGTCATTATAATTGTCATAAAATTCATACGAATTTTCAAACTAAATATTTATTTAAATTAGAGATTCTATTCACTGTTAGACTCATCGGGTTTTTGTTTATGAACCCATGTCTTGATTATAATTATCGCAAAATTATTTCATATAAACAATTCATTTCAGAGGAAAGGGTTAAGACATACACACGCCGTGAAGCGCAGTAGACATCGACTTATAAACTGATCAATTGATTTGCGAAACAGATATGAAAATAGCTTTTGGTGTTGTAATAGCTTTCAGTTAATACTTGACATCTCATATGATTTAAACACAAAAACAGTTCACTTATGCGAGTGAATCAAATATAATGCAAACAAATAGACCTCTTATTAATGAATTAATAGTTTCGCAGTTTAAACACAAATACTATAAACTATTTATAGAAATGACAGCAAATTATATGTTATATAAACACTGTCTGAAAGTCTTACCAAATCGTAATCATTGAATACGAGACCGTATTTAGCGGTGAACTCAGGGTAAGACCTGAGGGGCGGCTCCTTTGCATCGATTATTAAATCATTTTTGTCGTCCTTTTGCTTCGATTTCTTAGTTTTCGTATTCTTCGATGGTTTGGGTGTTATCTCATCCAAGGGCTGGACTGAGATATGGAACAGAGGCTGAAATGAAAGACAAAAAATAATTACCAAATAAGATATCATTTCACAAAATAGATTACAAGTCTATCGTAGGGTTTCCTCTTTGGGTCGGCTTTGAATTGAAAGTTGGGGAAAATTACTGCTTCTCCGGCCGCGTCTACACTGACCACTGCTGCCGTCCACTCAGATAATGACATATCCTTTAAAATAGGTCCACATATTAGACAATTTAATCAAACAGTAAGTAAATACAAAAAAAATACAAACCCAAACACAGCTCTTATGAGTGGTCAGACTGTTTGCACTGAAATTGGAAAAACCAAAGTCTTTGAAAATGACATTATTTTGAAAACCACTGCAAATAGAAAATAAAAGCATTTTGTAATTACTTTAATGAATGAATTAAAAGTAAATATAATTACAGATAGCAGTCATCGTTGCCCAAAAACATTCCGTTCCATTGCATATGAGTGTCGATTGCGGTAAATAACCCCCTCTTGACGGTAGTGATGGGAACGGCTGTTAACGTAAACACAATGCAAACAAAACTCATTAAATAAATATGAATTTCAAACACCAAATGATAGTTCAGTCAATACTCAGATCCTTTAGATTCCAGAGTTTTGCCGACCGATCGAAACCACACGAAACGACGAACTGATCGCTGGATGAGTCAAACCATTTGATGCCATTGACGGACGCGCTGTGAGCCATCCAACTGTTGAGCGGTCTTAATATGGTTTGACTGACGCTCTGCTCCACAATCAGAAGCGACGATTTGGTGGTCAGATCCCAGACGGCGATCACTCCACTGCCATATCCGGCGACGATTAGGTGCTGTTCGTTGGATTTGATCCAAGAAATGCATTTACAGATTGTGTTCTCGCAGTTGACTGAGTTTCCCACTCCGGGAGGGTTTAGTATAACGACCGGTTCGTTATAATAGAGAGTATTGTCGTATGAATTGTTGAGTGTCTGGGGATGAGGTATACTATGAATGCGTACGAAACCATCGCCGCACGCCAGGGCTAACAGTCCCATACGAGGCAAGGCTTGAGTATCATTTGGCTTATGACCGCTGATGTCGTCCCATGTGGTGCCGCCCGGACACCACTCCATATCCCATACCATTCCACAGCAGTGGGCAATACTGAAGGCCAGTCGGGGCTTAACTGTGGCGTCGAATGCAGTGCCGAGTTGTCCGACGCTCCAGAGCTGAATGAGTCCGCTCTCGATGTCCGTGTCGTTCAGTGTGTGAGTTGTGTCCCAATTCATGTTCGACGCCACGGCTAAGAACTGATCACAAGTGGTGGCGCTGTGCGGGAGGGGACACCAGGCGGTCGCCCACACGGGGCCGCCCACGAAGAAAGTGATGTATTGTTGGGTAGACAACGACTCGAATAGATTCAACTGATTCCATGAGTCGCCGGTACTTAAGGTGGACTTGAAATACGCCGAGGGGTTGGGCGTTGGGATGTAGGCGCTCAGCTCACTGTCGCAAACAAATTGTCAATTCATTTGATTCTTATTCACACAAATAACTTACTCTTCGGACAAAGGAATCCATGACTGACTCGTTGGCACATAAGATGGAAATGATTTCTGTTTGTAAAACCGGCGATGACTTCAAATAAAATACAATTAATTACGAAATCTATTCATAAATTAAATTTAAAAATAACTTACAATTCGAGGGCATAAGTAGTCGTATCCTTTCGGTTGATCTCGTATTTTGCGGATCCGTTACTTTGGTTACCGATGCGACTCATATCCACTTCAGTGATAAACTCCAAGAGCTCTGACGGCAGCTCTGGAATCGATTCCTAATTAGAAATGTAAAACAAATTAAATATTTTATTTAATAACAAATGGAAAATTAAATTAAGACCTTATGAGTTGTCCACAAGTGTTGAACAATAGTTTTATTTCCTTTGAGTGCCTCAAAGCCACAGAGTTTGCATTTATACGTGAATTTGAACTCAATTCCACACCTTTGGTAATGGTATTTGAGTCCATCGCGTGTTGTGAACGCTTGGTTACAGCCCTTGAAAACACAGTTAATTTAATTAATTAATTCAGTTTAAAACCAAACAAATGAAGGCATACTTCGAGAGGACACCTGACTTTGCCTTTCAGTGACACAGTGTTGAGCCACTGCTGGAACTGGTCTTTCGGTATTTCCCGCAGAAATTCTTTGATCGAAATCACAGATTCTCTCCAAAGGAGTAGTATTTGTCGAAAACCCGATTCTGTGTTCAACTTATTATTATACGAATCCTTTAATTCTTTCAATTCATTCAATTCTCTCGAAGTTTTGTTTTTCTCGAACGTCTGCTTATCTTCGGGTTCTTCGGCCTCCACTTCAGTATCCGAATCACTCTTTGCCGTCAATTCGTTGTCACTAACGCTTCCGCTGATTATCAGCTCTCCTTTTGTGCTCTTTTTGATAGTCTTCTGGGCTCTAAATGTATTCAAAAGCGTTTTAATCACATATTTCTAAACACCAAACGATTGCCTACTTTATAGCCGACGCTCTCTTTCTGGGAGTCTTCGCACTGCTATTGTCCTCATCATTGGTGACCACCTCTTCATCGGACGGCGAATCCGGTGACCGATTGCTGTGTTTGGATCTCATGTGATAGGAAACCGATTGAATCTTAAGTTGTTTGCCACAGATCTCACAATTTTTGGTGATTTCGCTCTCCTATAAGAATGAGACAAATATCTGATGAGTGGTCAGTGTATGGGAAGCGGTGTCTGAATGGACGGACACTTTTGCCGCACAAATCCCAATGCATTTTCAATCCGAGACCACTCTTGAAGGTCTTATTGCAACCCTCGTTGTGACACTTCAACACTTTCATCACTTTCTGGGCTTTGATTAGCGCTTGAATTATCTGATTCTCAGTGAATGGGGTCTTCAGGTCGTCGTTGATTCGGGCCTTAAGTGAAGAACACAAACAAATCAATTCAATGGTGCCATCGATGGCAATGTCTTACGAGTCCGTAATGTGTGCTAAATATATGCGAATTGATGTCCTTTTCGGTGTCGAAACCCAACAGACATTCACTGCATTTGAATTTCGGTGTCTTCTGCGAGGATATGGTTGTCGCCGAAGACTTCTTAGTCCTCTTCTGCGACTTCTTGCCTTTGGATGTCTTAACGGTCTCTTCGGTCGCACCGCCATTGTTGGCGACCATCACCTCATCCACTGTTCCCCTCTTAACCCGTTTGCGAGGCATTGGACCCATTGGTGGTGATGTGTGTCAATGGTTTCAACTGATGGTAGAGTGCATTGAAGTGAATGTCAAACACATGTCACGTCTGACTGCAATGTAAATGCAATTTCAAAATATAAATAAAATAGGATTTTGTGAATCGATGCACACATTCGCCGCCAGATGTCTGTCCATTATATTCACTAGTTTTGTAAAAGTTTTAAAAGTTTTTTGTAAATTATTTGTTAAGCCGTAAAATTAGCAACAAATATGTGTTTGACACGAAATTCAATACAAATGACAGCAAATTGCTTGCAAAATTAATTAAACACTCATTTGGTTGCGATTTTCGGTTCAATTCAAACCCAATTACAACTAATTTTGCAATTTTTGGCACAAATTAGTGACTCGTTGTGTGTGTATTGACTGACAGATCGCTTACCAAGACTTCAAACAATTACTACGGCTTCACACACGCCGGCACTCAATACGGGTTTGTGTCCAACACGTGACCATTCATTCATTGATACCATTGATAATTACCATTACTGTTGCCATTCAGGACAACCTATACTCCCATCCCCACAACCCCTTATGCAATGACTGCACAAATGTATGGCACGTCGGCGCGAAGTCCTTAAGAACCCGGTGTCGAGGAATGGCACTCACTTTGTGGTGAAGTTTGGCATCAAATTGAAAACGTTTTCATAATTAAGAGACAATCGATGAAAATGGCGTCAAATGCAGACAAATTTCAATACATCCATATAAAAGTGCCCAAAACTAAGCTTGGACATGCATTTTGGGTGGGAATACCCATTATGGTGACCACAATAGGCCTACTCAAGAGTTTCTTGAGTAATATTGGATGGTTTGACGGCACCCGAGAAGATCTGGTCGTCCATTGCAAGAACCGTCTCATATGTCTCAGACTTACTGATTTCACGTTTGAAGGCAATCAAGACTCGGATGTCTATGAAATCATAGATCAACCTCACCCGCAGTTGGGTCCGGCAGACAATCAGCAAACAATTGCCAATCATTTGGACAACGAGTCCGTGGTTTCGGTGTAAGTATCGGTTGTCCCGTAATCCATGTGTCCATCAATTGATTGCTTGCATTCATTAC